TGTTATCAGTGCTGGAGCAGAGAGTGGGAGGACTCCTCTTGTACTAGGCAGGGAAAATCTTTTGTTTCTGGCTTCACTGAGAAATATTTTTCCCTGAACACATTTTGTGTCTCTCTCTTCTTTTACTTGCTTCACCTGTACTTCACAAAACCTGGTAGATAGTTTGTGCAAGAGTATCTAGCTTAGCTCTTTTTTTGTGTGCATCTTTTTTTGGAGGCAATCCCAGAGGGTGATATGGTGGCACAAAAAAAGAGGCATACAAACCAATCCTGAGTATTCAGTAATCTCACAAGAGTTTGAAGTGCCTGTAAAATATCTTGTAGGCAGTTGGTTATATTTGTTTGGAGCTTAGGAAGAGGTCTGTACTGCTAATTAAGGATGTGTGAGGATAGTGAGGCTGAGGTGGATGATTGATAAGGATGAATCACTTGAGAGCAGTGTCTGGCATGCAGTAGAGACTTGCTGAACAAGTGAGTCAGTGGATTCCTGAATAGCCATCATTCTCAATTGGAGATAATTCTAAACTTCCTGGGACAAATTCACATACATATTATGAGGGAAGTAACTATATTATGAATTAATTATTCCTTGTTTGTTACTGATTAATTTGCTAACTTAACCTTTAGTGATTTTTACATACAACGATACTATGAACTACTTTTAAAATAAAAGGTGTGGCGAACAAAGAAGAAAAAAGTTAAAATAATTTTTAGTTAGATTAACAGCCTATTTTTGGTTAATTGCTATGAAGGGGTTATACTTATTATTGTGAGTACAATTAGTACTGCTCATATTATTTAGCCAGAGAAATAATATCTAATTACCAAGAGGTTATATAAAGTAATATAAGTAGCATGAAAGATACTATACTAAGGAATAGAAGAACTAGTTTTAATATACAGGAAAGAACAGTTTGATACTGATTGACTTTATAATAGTATGAATTTTATTACAGAAGATGTTGGCAATTCCTATTAACATTTATATATGACCTTAATTTCAAAAAGTGTTCTGAAATAGACATACAAGAGCTTGTGTATATTCATATAAATCTGCCACGTTGGGGGCTTTCATCTGTTACCAAAAGAGAGAAGCAAATGAACATAATTTATACATATTAAATCAATTTTATCTCCCTATTTGGGAGCTTTAAGATAACAAAATGTCAAATATGCACATTAGGGTCAACTCTACTTGCTATGAATTATCTGCTTTGGTTACAAAAAAAGCATTAAAGGAAGTTAAACAGGTTTGTTTTGAATGGCAGACCACTCTAATGTGATTCTCATGCATAACTAACATTCAGATGGATAAACTGATTTTTTTAAAAAAAAGTTCTTCCTGCCCAGGATTTTAAAATATAATGGAAAGATAACATATTAGAAACTAGAAAAGTATGTACTCTCTGGGGAGGGGGTAGTGTTAGTAAATCTGATTCATATTCCAATGCCAGTCCTCTGTTTAGTTAACTGAGGGGTGGGTGCCTTTTTCTTTCTTTAAAAATGAGTTAAAATTTAATGCAATATGAAAGATGTCAAGAAATGTAAATTTTAGCCTGGTTTTGCCTGTGGCAATCTATAGAACATCATAGTATTTATTTATTATTCTTTATTAGTACATGTTTGCAGTGCATAATGTATACATACCTCTTGGTGAGTTGGTACATTTACATAACACATTTTACTTCTTTTTTTCATCCCCTTTCCCTCCCCTCCGTCTTCCCCCCTCCATCTCCTGATCCCCTTCCTACTTGAGAAACATATATCTCCCTATTTCCTATTACCTTTCTTTGATGCTCTTTATTTATATATTTTGAGTTTCTCAAGGTACATCAATTTTCCTACAAATGACTCAAGTTTATCTTTATGACAGAGTAATACTCCATTGTGTGTAAATACCACAATTTTTTTATCCATTTATCTGTTGATGGACATATAGGCTGTTTCCAAGATTTAACAATTATGAATTGTGCTTTTATAAACATAGGTATGCATATATCACTGTAAAATGATGTCTTTAATTCTTTTTAAAAAATACCTAGAAGAAGAATAGCTAGGTCAAGTAGAATTTCTATTTTTAGGGGCCAGGGATTTAGCTTAGTGGTTCTGGTGCCTGCCTGGAAAGCGCAAGTTCCTGAGTTCAATCCCTGGTACCAAAAAAAAAAAAGAATTTCTATTTTTAGTTTTTTGAGGAACCTCCATACTGATTTCCATAGTGTTTGTGCTAGTTTACACTCTTACCAATAATGAAGATGAATTCCTTTTTCCCTGCATCCTCACCAGCATTTTATGTTATTTTATTTTTTGATGCTGGCCATTCTTACTGGGGTAAGATAAAATCTCAGTGTTGTTTTAATTTGCATTTCTCTAGTGGCCTGTGATGTTGAGCATTTTTTCATGTATGTTTGGCCATTTGTACATTTTCTGTTAAGTGTCTATTTATTTCAGTTGACTATTTTTTAATTGGGTATTTTATTTTAGGGGGTCTAATTTTTTTTTTTAATTCTTTATATATTCTAGATGTTAGTCCTCAGGAATAACTGGCAAAATTTTTTTCTCATTCTGTAGGTTATCTCTTCACTCTGTTGATTGTTTTGCTATGCAGATGCTTTTAAATCTGGTATTATCCCGTTTATTGATTCTTAGTACTATTTCCTGTGCAATCAGCATTCTATTCGGAAAGTCTTAACCTCTACTTATGACTTCAAGAGTTTAATCTATTTTATCTTTCAGCAGTTTGAATGTTTCTGATTTAACATTTAGTTCTTTGACCCATTTTGATTCTAATTGGATACATGGTGAGAGATATGGTCTAGATTCAATCTTGTGCATGTGGATAGCCAGTTTCCCAACACCATTTGTTAAAGAGGCTCTCTGTCCTTCAGGGAATGTTTTAGAAAGGCATCATATTTAATAATCTCTCCATGGATTTAATAATAAATTCCAGGAATAAAATCTGTATTTCTATTTACTTATGATGAGAAAAACAGATAAGGCCTCTCCTGTGAAGTGCTCACATTCTAGCTGAAGGAGTGAGAAGAGAAAGAGAATAAATACCTTAACAAATAGTATGGTATCATAAAATGAGAAGTGCTATGAAGCAAATTGAGATAATGCGATAAAAAATGAGAGGGATGGTTTTCTTCATTATATTTGATGGCTAAGGAAGTCTTTTCTGAGGAGGTCATTTTAAAGCCAAGATGATAAAAAGCCATTCAAAAGTTTGGAGAAAAAACTTTTCATAATGAACAAATAGCAAATGCAAAAGTCTTGTTTCAATACTAAGAAGTTTAGTGTGTTCAGAGGAAAATGGTAAGTAAAGGGGGGAGGGGAAAAGAGAGAGAGAGAGAGGGAGAGCGAGAGAGCACGTGAGAGAGAACAAATCATTTCTCCCTACTGGAGTTTTGAAATAGTTTTGTTGAGATATTATTGAGACACAACAAACTGCCTGTATTAATGTCCTAGAGCCTCTCTCCTAACTTCTGGTTATCCTTGATTTGTGGCAGCTTAACTCCAGTCTTCACATATCAGTCTCCTTGTTCATGTGTTGGTTTCCAAATTTCCCTTTTTTAAATAAAGACAATAATTATATTGAACAGGTACTGACTCTGTTCCAGTATAACTTCATCTTAGTTAACTACAATCAAAATGCTAAGGATTAAGACTTCACATGTGAATTTTGGGGGGCACGTAATTAACCTCTGACACTGCATATATTTAAAGTATACAATTTGATAGGCTGTATATATCCTGTGAAATCATCATCACAATCAAGATAACATGTTCTTCACCCCAAAAAGTTTCTTCTGCCTTGGCGATCTCTCTCTCCTGCCTTTCTATACTTTTTCCCATCCACGGGCACTCATTAATCTGCTTTCTGTCTTGTGATTAATTTGTGTTTTCTATAAACTGAATCATATGAAAGGTACTATTTTTTTTGTCTTTTTCTCACAAAGTGTTATATACCAACATGAGAAAGAACCATCTAGCAGATTAGTAAATTCTTTTTTTCCAGTACCAGGAATTTAACTCAGGACCTTGCACTTGCCAGGTAGGCATGGCACCACTGAACTAAATCCTCGGCCCTAGATTAGTAAATTCTGAGCATGTTTGTGGATGATCAGCAAGTAGGCCAGCAAACTGGGGGAGAATCCCACCCCAGATGTGGGTGGCACCAAGGAATAAGCTTTTATCTTGCACTGAATAAAAACAAAAGAAGGAAAGAGCTTTTTGGAGGAGCTTCAGTCTTTGTCATTGCCTTTAGACATCAGTCTGCAGTTTCTTCAGCCTGCCAGTGCACTCTTCAGCCTTCTGACGCAGACTCACACCGTGATTCTAGTTTACTACTGGATCCTCCATCTCTGTGCCTCTAATTCTGCAAATGACCACTGTAACTCTTCCACTTCTGATCCCGTGAGCCTACCTGATAAATCCTTTTCTATAATTACATTTATATTTTTATATTCTATTCCTCTAGAGAACCCTAACTAACACAGATTTTGGTACCAGAAGTGGTTCTAAAGAAACAGAATTATAAGGATGAATTTCTCTAATTGGCTAGTGGCTCTTGGAGTTGGCTCTCTAATTTGATGAGACCCAGAGGTGCCATAACCTCTCTTTCTGATAATGTAGATAATACTGATAGTCTGAGGTGTGAACTTGTCAAAGTAATACAACCAACAAATGAATCTGTGTTCAGTTTCTTGTGGCTGCATAGCTGAGGTTGTCTAACTGGCTTTCACCTCAGTGTAGTAGTTTTTTTCTCTCAAAGTCAATAGGAGAACATCTGCTACAGCTTTGAATCTCTGACTTCTGTCCCTGACTTCTAGATCCCAAGAAGAAAGGACCTATTCACAGTCAAGGAGAGGGCAAGATATAGGGTTTACATACCAGAGGAGAAAAGAGGAGTTTGGGGGGATCTTTTAGAATTCTACCTTTCATAAATGATTTAAATTTAAAATGATTATTGACAGGTGGTTGTGTTAAAGTCAACCCTTTTGGTATTGTTTTCAATTTATTGTGTTTCTTTGTCATTGTCCCCCTTTTTCTGACTTCATTATCATTTTTTTTGAGGTACTAAGGATTGAACCAGTGCCTTCTTACAAAGCTATATCTTCAGTCCTTCTTAATTTTTCTGGGGACAGGGTCTCCCCAAGTTGTTCAGGCTGGGCTCAAAATTGTGATTTTCCTGCCTCAGCCTCCCAGAGTTCTGGGATTAGAGGTATGTACCACTATACCCAACTTGATTGAGCATGTTTTATAATTTTATTTAATTTACTTTGTTGTCTTAGTAGCTCTAACTCTTTATTGTTATTTCTGTATTTGCTTTAAGGATTATGTATTTATATATCTTTAATAGTTTACCTTTAGATGACTATAAGAACCTTATGACAGAATACTTTCATATCTTCTCTCTTGGCCATTGTGTTATTGTTGTATAATTTACTTCTTTGCAAATTATAAATCCTATAATATATTGTTATTTTTCCCTTAAATATTTAATTATTTTTAAAATAAATTTAAATAGTGATGCAAAAATTTTATACTTAACTACATAATTACCATTTCCAGTGTTCATCATTTTTTTGTACAGCTAGATTTTTCCATCTGGTGTTATTTCTTTCTGTTTATAGTGTAAAACTATTAGTGATAAATTCAGACTGTACATAATTGTATAAGCCTACATTTTCCTTCATTTTTGAAAGGTAATTTTGCTGAGGTAAGAATTCTTGGTTGACAGTTTTTTCTTCCAGTATTTAAAAGATGGTGGTTAACTGTCTTCTGACTTGCATTGATAATTCCCATTAGCAATCTCTCCTTACCTTTTTTTCTTCTCTACCTTATGTGTATTTTTCTCTGGCTGCTTTTATTTTATTTTATTTTTTTCCAGTCCTGGGGATCAAACTCAGGCACAGTACCACTGAGCTAAATCCCCAGCCCTTTCTGGCTGCTTTTAAGATTCTTCCTTGTTACTGATATTAAGAAGTTTGACTATGCTGTGTCTTAGTTTTTAAAAATTTTTTTTCCTATGCTTAAGGGTCATTGGGCTTTTGGATTGGATTTATAGTTTTGATAATATTTGTACATTTGTCAACCATTGTACCTTCAAGTATTTTTTTCTGTATCTCCTTCCTTTGAAGATTCCTTCCTTTGAAGATTCATATATATTTGAGATCTTGAAATTGTCTCAAACTCATTGATGATCAGTTCCTTTTCCTCTGTGTATTTCGTTTAACATTATTTGCACTGCTATGTCTTCAAATTCACTAACCTTTTTCTATGCAAAGTCTCATCTGCTCCATTCAATCAACCCAAGAAATTGTTGTTTTAATCTTTATAAGTTAAACTGGGCCTTTTATTTATCCATGTGTCTACATCCTTGTTCTTTTCTCTAGTTACTTAAATAAAGAAATTAGTTATAATACCTGTTTTGTTGTTCTTATCTACTAATTCTATTATTTGTACCAATGTTGGGTTAGTTTCCATTAATATTCTCATTATGAATTTTTTTTTTTTTTTTTTGTACCGGGGATCGAACTCAGGTCCTTGCGCTTGCGCAGCAGGCGGCAAAACCGCTGAGCTAAATCCCTGGCCCTCTCCTCATTATGAATTGTATTTTCCTGCTTCTTTGTATGCCTAGATTTTTTAATTGAATGCCACATTGTAGATTATACTTGTAGAGTGCTGGGTATTATTATATTCCTATAAATAGTCTTCATCTTTATTATGTGACTCTTTTAGGTATTACTTTTAAGCTTTGTTAGAAAAGGTCAGGACAACATTAAGCCAAAGGCTAATTTTTTATCACAATTGAAGCAAAATCCATTTTTAGTGAATTGCTTCATTTTTCATGAGTTAGAAGATTTTCCACTATTATAAGTTGGAACAGGTTCTATGGATTATTCTGTGTGAGTCCAGGATTGTTTTCTTGAATCTCTTCAAGTGTTTCCTTCCCAGTCTCAGCTAGTTTTCTCATATGCATCAGTTTATCAATTTTCAGCTGAATACTCAAAGAAATTCTCTGCAATTTCTCACAATTCCTTCTTTGCAGCTCTGTCCTGGCCACAAGTCTTGCTGTGAACTCTAGCTGGTGTGGGTTCCATAGACTCCATCTCCTCAATCTCACAACACTTCTGGCGTCTGTTTTAGTATCCCTCCCTGTACCTTGGCCAAGAAACTTCTCCAGGCAGTAAAGTGGAAGTATTTTGTTTGTTTACATGTCTGAGATCACTTATTTTTTAAAAACAGCAAAGCCTGATGTCTAGTGTGTATAGAACCATTATTTCATATATCTTTTCCTGCTTCACAGTTACTTTAGGTTGGGGAGTAAATTTGGGTCACAGAGTGTAAATTCAATCTGTGTGCATTCTTTTAAGATCATACACATGAGTGTCCCTTTAAAAAGAAAATCACTACACAAATGTATATTTATTATAGTTCTTCTGATAACTGGCAAAGTATATCAGTGCATAGCGCTTACACATACTTATATGTACTAACTGATACACACGAAGGGGTGATCAAAATATACAGTGAATAATTTTTAAAAAATCACTACCTCAAAAGACACATTAACATTAGTCCCCTTCAAAATACTCCCCTTTGCTTTGAATATGGTTATCCCACTGTTCTTGCCACTTTCTGAAGCAGTTCTGAAAGTCTTCTTTTGAGAATGTCTTTATGATATGTGATTTAAAAAAAAGTATGGTGAATGCTGCTACTGAGTACCATTTAACAGAAAGGCAGGCTTGTAAAAACATATATTGAGTTACTGAATCAATGCTTTATATGATAAGAGTATGAATTCCATTAGAAAGAAACACTTAATATCCCTCAGTTTCTATACTGCTGTCTTATCATCTTGCCTGGAGTCACTTACAGTTAAGTCTGGCACTTCGTTCCCACTTTCCCTACTTGCAGAGTTCTCTTACTACATGGTAGCTCATATTTCCAAGATGTAGGGATCACTGTATACATTCTTGGGATGTATCTATTAAATTAACCTAAATTTTGCCTGAAGATGCTTGTGTATTGTGAGTCCATATATAATGAACTGCGACCTTGGTATGTAAACTAACTGAAAGCCTAATTTAGGCATACACTTTTGTAACAAATAGCTGAGTCTTAGCCAATCATAGCAGCCAAGGCTCAGTCAATCTCTGGTGGCCAACTGATCAAAACATATACAGGTGAGGCATGTGCTGCCAAGCAGCCTATTTCTATACCTCTCTTCTGCTTTCTCTCCGTAAATGCTGCCTGTCCATATTCGAAGTTGAGTTCTCTGAACCTCTTTTGGCTCTGAGGCCTGTCTGATTTATGATTCATTCTTTGTTCAATTAAACTCTATCAAATAAATAGTTCTTTCTAAAGTTTTGCTTTAACATATCCCAGACTTCCCATCATCCTCCAGGGAGACTCACTTGTACTGGGCATCATTTTTTCCATATAACTTTCATTGACAGTAAAGGCTAGGGTAAGTGGCACAGTGAGTTCAAGGCCAGGATGAACTGCATAGTGAGACCCTGTCTCACAAAATTAAAAAAAAGAGAATAGATGGATACATCAAACTACAGAATGGCTTGCAGGCACTTTTGATTTCAGATCTAAGTAATATGGAAGGTAAAACAGGAAAGACTAGGATAAGTGAAGACTAATGGGGTTGTCAGTAGCCTGTGAAAATACCTATGATTTATTGAGCATCTACCATATGCCAGGGTTTTGTCTCTAATTTTCTTAAAACTAACCAGGAGGAAGACCTTAGGGAATCAGAGAAGGCTTTGAAAAAGAGTTGCTTTCTCAGATAAAGCCTGAATGTTGAGGGGAAGGTAGGTGAGATGCGGCATAGAATGGCTTGTATCCCCACAAAGGGAATGGTATATGTAAAGTCGCGGAGGCAAGAAAAATGTGACTCATTTGAGAAATTCAGACAGTTTGGCAAAAAGAAAGAGTAGAGAAAGGATGTGGCTTTAAGATGGAGGAGTGGAAGATAGGGAATGATGAAATTGGGGAGCTAAAATAGATCATGCAGGACTTTGCAAATGATATCAAGTCATTTGGGTTTCTTTCTTCAGGACAGTTTGGAAATGCCCCATGCATTTTTGGCATAATACGTGAGTTACAGTGAGGAAAAGTGGTTTAAAGGAGTAAAACAGTTACAGCTATGGAGAAAAGTGTACATTTGTTCCAAAAATTCAACAATGACTTATACACTCAGCCATTTATACATTCAACAAATATATTGATTGCCTACTAGACAATGGGCCCTGTGACTAAAATATTTGTTAAATAAGTATATGTTGTATTATTACAAATTAAGTATCATTTATTAAGTCCTTAGGTGCTAGGCACTGTGTTAAGCGACTTTCAGAAACATTGTTGTTACTTTTTAGCAGGGGAGGAAAGTGAAAAAAAGAGAGGCAAAGACACCAAATGACGTAGCTAGTTAATGGCAGGGCCAGAATTTGATCTCAAGTCAGTTTGACATCTTGCCAGATTTGCCCTTGTTACTTAAATTCATACATGTAAATTATCTTTCATGTCTTTTCAAATACAAGGAAAATGTATTTTGAACTATTAAAAATTTTTAATCAACAACTTGTAGGTCAGTTGCCCTAGATTTACATGAAAAAGTTGCCTTTGCTTTATAGATGAGGAATAATTTTATATATGTCTACATGAGCAGCTAGGTAAAATTTAGGGCACTCAAGCCTCAAATTAATTTTCATTCCCAAGATTTCCTTAGATGATGTGAGGGTGCTTTTTTTCCCATTTGTTTGCCCCATTTTGTGTCTATCTTTATTAATATTAACAAAGGATATATTAAAAAGAATAGTTTTATTTTGAAATAGGAGACAGGAAAATGCATACTAAAATAATGTCAGAATTTCCAGGGTAAGATATTGTGAACTTGTTTGGCTAAACACATTTTATTTGGGGTTCGGTATGAATTTTCAATAGCTGTTTTTCAGATAAGAAAGCAGTAATTCAAATGCAATTATATAAACAAGAAGATCAGAGTGGAATTATCCTGAAGGGTATAAAATGAACCAAGAGTCTGGGTCATCACAGCATCAGTTCACCAATGCAAAGTAAGGTAGGTGTCTCTATTGAGGAGCTTCTGTGAAATGAAATGCTTCTATTCTATTTTCTTTTAGCATTTATTTAAAAATTGCAAATACTGAGAGATAATTTGCTTCATTAGGGTCTAAATTTTAAATTATTGCTCCAAATTGTTCAGTAGTGGGCCAAGGTGAGTGAAATACATACATAAGGGTAAGTAAAAAATTTCATTGCCTTAAAGAAAGAGAAACAATTGTCAATTTCTTAATGAAGGATGTTTGATATGCATGGATTTCTCATGTTATTGTTTTGATTTAAATGTTTTTATCAATTTAATAATCTACATACTAAATAATCTTCATTAATAATGGTCATTTTGATGAAAATATTCTAGGAAATCTTAAATTCAGCTTTGAGTACCTGGAGGGGTAATATACCCTGTATTGCAAAGTTTTTTGATTATTTAATAGTGTAACCACCTTGGATAGTGTCCAGCACACACATACACACACACCTACCTAAGAGTAGATTTTGCTGTCTAGAAAAATACACTGCTTTAATAAAGTTCTGGGACAAGAGATTCATCCTTTTTGTACTATACTAAGGAATTCATAAGAAAAGATCAGTGAAGGAAATTAGCAGAACAGAGAAAAGTATGTTCATTAAGAACAAAATTAGAGGGACTGGGGATTTAGCTCAGTGGTTCTGCCGCCTGCCTTGCAAGCACAAGGTCCCGAGTTTGATCCCTGGTACCAAAAAAAAACAAACAAAAAACCCAACAAAATTAGACCAAAAAGAACAGAAAAGGGAAGAGAAAGGGTCAAAGGAAAGAACCTATTTTGGAATAAAGAAGGGAAAGTGGGGACATACTTAATCATGGCACTGAAGAAGGCAGGCCATCATTGTTCAAGTTCTGTCTAAAATTATGCCTTCTGTCTTTAGGTGTTCAGTAAAAGATTTATGATGATTTTAGAAGAGGTAATTAAGTTGCAGAGATAAAAAAGTGACAAAGAAGAAATTGTGGCAGATATATGGGAAAGTACTAATACCAAGTCATATAGTGTTACACATTTATGTATTTTTTATTAGCACTCCAAAGGCTTTACGTGTGTTATTCTTTTTTATGATTTTAGGAATGAGTATATAGAAAAATGAAGGCACAAAGATATTAAATTTCTCATTTACACAAATTATAATTAAAGCTGGAAAAAGAATTCTAGATTGCTAATTCTTAGACCAGGGATCTGACTCTAATTTAGCATATAGAATCAGAAGCTATTGTGTAGCAAAGACTTACATAATCATCTTGTAATTCTAAGCCTTCCTTTTATAGATGAGGAATTTGAGATCCAGAAAGATTATGTAGGTGAACTTTTACTATATCCAATAAAAGAGGAAAAGGAGAAAGAATAGTTGCTATTTTATATCCACAAGGTTGTGCCACTAATGTGACTGGTAATTCATCACTTTTTAATATTTTACTTTTGTTAAAGTTCTACATTTACAAGAGTAACTTACAAAACGTATCCATTGGAAATAGGGCAACAATGGGAAAATTGTGACACAACTTTTCATCCTACAGTATTAAAAAGGATCTCTACATTGCAGAAATGAGGTCCAGATAGATTCAATATTTAGCCAATTTCTCATAGACCCATGGGAGAATTCTGTTCCTTAAGTTTTAGATTAATATTCTCAGTACTAGTTCACCACAGTTATATCTTATATAGAATTATAGAATTAGAAGTTGAAATAAATGAACTTAATTATTTCCTATAGTAAAACTCAGCTGATCAATGTCCAAATAGCCGAGAACTAGATGATCATACTGAATATTTTATATAATTCAAGTAGTTAACTTTTTTTTGGTACTGGGTATCGAACTCAGGACCTTTTGCTTGTGAGGCAGGTGATGGAACCACTGAGCTAAATCTGCAGACCAAGTAGTTGATATTTTTAAGATCCTGCAGAGGATACTCTAGGTCTGTGGCTCTAAAATAACGGAACCAACTTTATACCATAGAAAGAGCTCATGTTTGTGAAACAGTGGAGAAAACCAGATCTCACAAATAAATCATTCTTATATTTTCAGGCTTGGGTTGTAGCTCAGGGGTAGAACAGGTGCATGAGGTCTTGGGGTTCATCCCTCACATTGCAAAAAAGCAAACAAAAAAAATCATAGGAATTCTTATGTTTTTACTTTTTAATGTAAACACCAAAATTCCTCCAAGAAATGCTTAAATTTTATTTTGAAAGAGTTCACTGGAAAACCTTTGTCCTAAAATAATTTAGTTTGTCTATTCATAAGTAAATATAGTGAACATAAGGAAATCTTTGATAACTGAAGGTCTCAGAGTTATAATTTGGAATTTTTTCCAGCACTTTAGAACAATCTGTATTTTAAAATTTGTATTTACACTTAGTTCTTCCACTGGACTGTCAGCCCTTTAGGCCAGAGACCTTCTGTTATCCATTTTGTATCCCTCAATGCCTTGCTCAGGTGCTCAATATATATTTCACTGATTTATCTGCAACTCTTATTCTAGGAATAAGAAATTGGTTGGAATGACTATTAATCTTTAGAAGTTGACATTTAAAATATTCTCTGGTAACCTGTGTAATGTGGTTTTCATTTTTTCTTATAAGTATAGTTAATACAAAGTTCTTAACTGTGGCTGAATGTATGAGGCTAAGTATTTAAGGTTTCAGTAAGTAGAGGTTTTAGAGTTATGTAGCTTAAAGACTGCTGGGATATAATTGACATTTGAGAACATCTTGACACTTTCTGATGATTGAATAAAATGATGTTTAGTGAAATTTATTTAATAGGCTAAGCAAAGAACTTTGTGTTCATTTATAACAATACTGTTCCATTAAGGTATATATTTGCTGTACTGATAATAGCTGTAAAATATTAGTAAAATGAAAAAAATATTAATCTTTCAGGTGACCAATTTACATCCAAAATTCTGACATTTGATTACTTTCTCTTAGAAATAGAACTAAAATAATTATAAGTCATAACATTATCCAGGTCATTACAATGTGCAGTTGATATGGAACACATTCTTCATTAGACAGGGTTTATTGAGATGCACGTTCTGCTCCCTCCAGGGACACAGTGGACCCTCTGTTGTCTTCCATATGGCCAAAAAATATTTCATGTTCCCGACTAACTCATAATGGATCTGTCGTCCTTGATTATTTTATTCTCATTTTGTCACATTATGTTTTTTGCTTCTTATCTTTTTGACATGAATTCTATATTTCTTCTATGTAAAATTATCTTTTATTTGTTCCATTTCTACATCATTCAACTTTCAAGGACAATCCTAAGGGTTCAGAAAGGGTTCTTAGACTTCTGAGTTAGCTCCTTCACCCCAGTGGTAATTTTAGTTGACCCTCTCTTGACTCTCTCTAGTTTTCTAGTGTCTTCCATGACCAGAAATGGGTGGAATTATATGCCATTGGGGTGGTACTAATGTTTGGATGTGCTATTTTGTTTGTTTCTTTGCTATTTCTAATTATGATAGAAAGTTTATTGGCCTTTTAAGCTATTTTACCAAAGGTTTTAGAAAACTGTAATTTTCAGAAAGCCCTTACTGAAGCATAATTGTTAACTCACTTCTTAAAAAGCAAATATTTGGATTATATTTCCATAGAATGAATTCTTTATATTTAATTGATATGTACATCTCTGCCATTTTTCTGTTGTGATGCTTTGGGCTTGCCATTTTACTCCCCAGTTGGGTCAGTGGCCCTTGATAGCAGTACTTCCACTATGTGAGCTTCTACACTATGGTTTATGTGGGTCATAGCTACCTCTAAGCATATTTTGGGAGAGTTTAACAGTATTAAATATGTAAAAACACTTGACATAGGGCCTAGAACAAAGTAGGCATTAAATGAATGGCAGCTGTTTTTATTATTGTTGGCTCTTTGTGGGTATGTTCATATGTATATATAAACTTTTCCAAAATGTGCCTTCTGAATGTCCTGAAAAGGTACATGTAATAGGTTCTTTAATTTTATCTTTGATTTAGCATGCCTGCCATCTTCTTGATGTCCCTGCTTTTTGGTCTTATATGTGGGCAAGCAATATCTTTTTGTATTCCAACTGAATATACAATGCACATCGATAGGAGAGAGTGTGCTTATTGCCTAAGCATCAACACCACCATCTGTGCCGGATATTGTATGACACGGGTATGTACTTCATCACCCTTCTTTTAGCTATAAATTATATAAACCTAGATTCAGTCCATTCCTATCTGGAAAAGAAATGAGGTAAATTACAACTTTATTTTCTAAATCCAATGGTTATTAGCTCCCTAAGAACATATCGTTTTTACAGCTTCCCAAGTAAGAACATATAGTATTATGTGGATGTACTCAGCAAAATGGGTACAGATAAATTTATAAAAATTTTACCTTCTAGATTTAATTAATTTAAACCTTATCTTGTTCCCATGAAAGGATAAGAGAGGAAGGTATCACTTTTGTCTCTGTAGAATTTAATCTATATAAGTTAAGTTAGTATTGGAGACTAAGACTAAGGAATCTTCCCCTAGTTGTATTTGCAACAAATAAGTGCATATATGTTTTCTAATATCTTATCATATTATGCTCCATTTTCTACTCTTTTCTCAGGATATCAATGGCAAACTGTTTCTTCCCAAATTTGCTCTCTCCCAAGATGTTTGTATATACAGAGACTTCATCTACAAGACTGTGGAAATACCAGGATGCCCACACCATGTTGCTCCTTATTTCTCCTACCCTGTTGCTGTAAGCTGCAAGTGTGGCAAGTGTAATACTGACTATAGCGACTGTATACATGAGGCCACCAAGACAAACTACTGCACCAAACCTCAGAAGTCCTATGTGATGGGATTTTCTGTCTAATTTTAATAATGATATAATTTGCAACTTGGTTAAATGTGTTTATCTGGAATAAAATAATAAAATATCATTATGTTTCACAATTGAAACATTATGTTTCACCTTGTATACATTTTGAGTACTATTTCAACCATATGCATATCCACACAAGTATCAGAGAGTTTATGAGGCTTTAGAAGAAAAAGTGAGTGAAAAATCCTTTTGTGGTTTTCATATGAGAAAGCAAAGTGGAAGTAAGATGGAAACAGGGACCTCAAAGTGCTGTGAAAGTCAGCTGTGAGAAGCTCTCCTAACAGAATTATGAAAAGTAGTGTGATCAGAAGCTGAAGGAATATGTGGCATTTGAGTGCGAGAGAAGTTGTCCAAAGGCTGGAAGCAGGCCTGGAGTGGAGGTGGAGAGTAAGGAACATGTAAAACCTGCCATATTTAATACTTTAGCCTAATCATTCAACCATACTGGCTACAACTCCAAAACTCAGTAATGAGTATGTGAACTATTCTCTTTAATTTAATTACTCTGGTGGGCCAACTGCCATATGAAAGTTATATCCCCAAAGGTCAATTTACAAAGCCTAGAAAAGAGGCCAAGATCATTTTACACGTGGAAATCTAAATCCTTCATAGTCCTTTAGTAATAGGAGATACTTTACAGCATTTATACCAGAAGCAACTTGTGCTGTTTTGGCTTTTGATATCATGAAAAACTAGCACAATTATGAAAGGTTTTAGGAATAGGGGAGAGTGCTAAGGGACTTAATGGAGTAGAAGAATCCTCAGTTCTAATCTAAACCTTCATTAATAGTTAAACACTGTTTTCTGGTGAATATGCTTGGCAAGACACTTTTTCTTTTCCTTCTTTATAGATATTGAGAGGTTGGTTTCAACAGATGCTTAAAGTGAGACATTTGTAATGCCCTGCAGGCTTGACCTCAAAAAGATGATTTATCATTTATTTGGCCTTTACTCTTTTTTTCTTTTGGTACCAGGGATTGAACTCGGGACCTTGCACTTGCAAGGCGGGCGCCGTAACCACTGAGCTAAATCCCTGGCCCTGGCTTTTACTCTTTAACCACAGTGCCATCATCAAGGTGAAAACCAATTGTCAGCAAGGCCTTTGGCTTTGCTATATCTCACAACCACTGGTTAAATTCAGCTGGGCATCTTGTAAATGCATGTATACTGACAGTTCCCATGGGAGAGAGGTGCTACAGATAAATTAGTTTCAAAGTATCAAACCACATTTTGCCAATGTTAGAAAATAGCTGTGCGTTTGCATACAAAAGTCAGGAATGTATAGTACTTATTTCTACCTCAATATCTGAACAGATATTTGCATGATTTTCAAATAGTCATCTGGGACTTTGGGTTTTCATATCAATTGATAATATGAACACTTAATGCTGCCCCTTGCTTAAAACTGTTAATCAAATATAGATTTTTGATTAATAAGTAAAAGTTCTAATTTCTCAACCTATCCAGCACTGACTCATTGATTCAGAGAAAATATTTTCAAGGACTTGAACTACGTAAAGGCCAAGGGGTTTTAGGAGGCCCCTTATAAACAGTCTAGCTCAGAGAGATTTTAATTCTGTTTATTTAATTATTTAAATAGGCTTCCTCAACCTGCAGGGAAGAGGCCAGGCCTAGACACAGTGGTGATGGACCTGTACTATCGTGAGCCATAGAACCCTAGAGTGGGCTCATAATAGACTTGCTTCCTCCCACTGACAGCAGTTCATTTGGATTAGATGCATGCATGAATTATAAAAAAGCTTTTATTTAAAAAAAACACTTTTATTCTTGAAAGTGGAGTTTTCCAGGATAAAAAATTGGGGCAGAGGTGAGGAATTAGGGTGACCAACAATTCACTTCCAGTAGATCCAAAACTTGGGGATATTGAGGTACTGATTTGGAGGATCTTGGTGTCCTTTGGATTTCAAAGAACAGATAGAGTTTAGAAATGGAAAGATGAAGAATCACTGGTTGCATAATAGGAGAAAGTTGGAAACTGGGATATTTTCTGAGGTGATATTTAAATTCAACCCAAAGTTTAAAGGAATCAGTTCTTGGCAGAAGAAGTTTGAGACTCATTGCTTTAAAAAAGTCTCTCTTCTTCCCCATCTTCTTTATGTTCTGAAATACAGAAAGTTCCTTCATAACTGGATGGATTTGGGATCAGTGCACCAGCAAATCTCTGTTTTTCTAATGTTCAAACTCTTTAACAGTAAGTGAATGTACTAGGATGCGTAAATTGGCAGATGACAGCATGATACTTCCCAGTAACAGGAAATTCTAGTAATAGAAGCTCTCCTACTCATATAATAAATTATCCTTTTCTTTATTTAACAGCAGCAACTTTAAGTGTAATAAAAATCCTTTTATCAAATCTACTTCCACTCTGTCCCTATTGTTCAACATGGAGGTTTTCTCTACCTTCTTATTACTTTTAGTTTATTCTTTTTCTTTTAAGCAATTCTGTCTCACTTTCTCTACTTTTGCTAACCACCTTCCACTTTCTGTCTCTGAGCATCCATGCGCTTTCTGATAGTTACACCTTGATTTTTCTTTGGGGGGTTCTCTGCACCCTTTCTTTCAGTTCAAGTGGCTTAAGTGGGGCTGATGGGGTGGGCAGGCTATTTAGGCCCAGTTAAGCTTTACTGGTTAAGAAATGGGCATGTGACCTACTCCCCTCCCGTAAAAGTCAGTCCCAGGACCTTTTAACTATTGGAGAAAGAATGTTTGATTGGTTGGGAGTCTTAAACTGATAGAATGTGAGGCTGGAGCCACTGCTGGCCATTTCTGGTGTTTCTTGGAAACAGGCCCCTCCTTGTGAGAATAAAGCCAAGCCAGAAAATCAGAGGTGAGCAAGAGAAACTAAAAGAGACAGACTTAATGATATCATCTGAACATATTTTGAAGCCAGCTTCACCCTTGAACTTTCTTTTTCTGCTTAACTCATTAGAGTGGGGTTTCTGACAGGTGCACCTGAAAAATCATGTCTGATTTAGCATCTTTCCCAGTAGTGTCAGATGTTCTTGATTCCATTTCATCGTCTCCATCAACATGTTGCTGTTTCCTCTTGTATCACTTTCCCTACTTCCTGTCTTTGAAAGCTTCTCTTTAGTATGAAGCATCCTTCAATCTCTTCCCATTTTTTTTAAAAAGGTAGAAGCAAGCAAATAACTCTTGACCCGGTCCAATGCAGACTTCTACTTCTAGTTATTTGCTTCCTTACTCCTTGAGTGCTTATTCCAGGTTTTTTTGTGAATGAATACACTATACTAATCATCTGCATCTTCATTTCTCAATCTGTTTTCAGTCCACTACAACTTGGTTTCCACTCCCATCTATTTGGAAACTGGTTAGTAAGGGCAACAATGACTGCTTGTGATCTAGTACATAGGACACCTTTAGTCTTGTTTTTCCTGACCTTTCTGTTTCCCAAAGGGCCCAGTGGAGGTCACATATCTGCATTCTTGATGTCATATAGCTATAGCACTTATAATTAATCCTGATGAGGATGAAATCTACCTTGTCTCACTTTTCATGCCTTTCTTCCCCACTCATCTCTCAAGTGACTCAAATTCCCCTTGGTGGTCTTTTATCTGGCAACAGTGATGTAGATTTGGACTGTACTTTTTTGGATAATTTTGTTGGATGCTGTAGAGGTGAAATTCTAAGTTTTGTGGAAGAAGGATTAGATATAATAATCTTACATATCTTATTGACACACAGAGTGCTGCTAAATAAGAAACAGGTTAGAAACTTGGGTTTGTATTAATTCAGGCTTGAATGTCCTAAATAATTATACCCATTCCAGTAATCTGAAACTGGCTTTGCCCTTAAAGAACCAATGACTTTCCTTTTCTACTTAACTAGTTGTAGTTGTGTTTAGATGTTAGATGGCAACTACTGAAGAACACAGGCAACCAACAGACTTTCCATCCTGAGAATAAGAAATAGGTAGGGAATAAAGAATTGTTGTGGACTTTAATTTACTAGAATAGAGAATTCTAATTTTTTAAACTTTAATTTCTCACAGGAGATTTAATCATGAGAGACAGCTCATCTTGTTCAAATATGGGTACTACCACTTTTATGTAGAAGATTCCTGAATTACAGATTTAGTCTGCACTTCTCTGAGCTTCAGAAGGGCCACATATCCAGTATCTGTATTTCTTGGATGTCCTGTAGTCATCTCTTATATCACCATTACAATCTGCTTTTCTTCCTGTCCTTTGTTATTTTCCAGTTACCACATAAGAAATCTGGGAATTGTTCTAGGTTCCACTTTTTCTCCTATTCCTCATATATAATTTCTCTTAAGGCTATGTACTTCTTGGTAGGGTTTCCAGTACATTAGTTAGAAATCCTCATGACCTTGGTTTTGCCCTATATTCATTCCTCATACTGAGGTTGAATAATCTTTAAAAGATTCAAGTTTGATTTTGTAACTCACTGTTTAAAAATTTCCCCATGGCCTCATAACAAAGATAATACTTTTTAAGTATAGCTGCACAGGGCCTTTTATCTCTTTATCTCTTGGGATGTCTTCTTTGAATGTTTTCATGCTCTCTGTTTCAGGGTCTTCTTGCATGCTTTCTCTGGAAATCCCTTTTTCTTTCACTACACTACCACTTTCAACTTTGCTGATTTGGAAGAGTTCTTCAAAATAGAGACCCTAACACCCAGGAAACCTCTCTATCATGAGCACTCTCCCCAAGTCTTGAGGGAGCCCACTCTGAGTTGATGATTATCATAGCACTTGTTTCCTGGTAATGCACTGGCTTGCTTTGTTTCACTTTAACCTCCTTGTCTCACTGATCTTAGCATATCAATACTCTTATAAAAAGTTTTCTTCCTGTAATTGCTGCACACACCTGAGAGGCTGAGGCTGGAGGATGACGAGTTTGAGGCCAATCTGGGTTACACCAAAAAAACCTTTTTTAAAAAAAAAAATACGTAAAATAGAAATCTCAAATTAAAAAAAAGACAGTTTTAATATTAATGTGGACTTCATCCTTCAAAGTAAAGCAACCCATATAAAAGTATAGGATTCTGACCTTGGCCATTAATGTAAAGTTTTAAAATTAAAATAGAATTGGGAAATGTATCAAAAGCTACTCAATAACTCAACAAATGAATGTAATCTATATAGATAATTGGTACCACACAGAAGTATATTCTTCAGTTTTGGATGAGTTTTTGCAAGCTATTTGATTTATAATTGACAAAATTCTCCTTAGCTGAGTATTAACACCTTACCTGAGTATAATAGTAGCTAATATCACTAGTTTCCAGGTGTACTCTGCACTTTGTATTGGTTACAGTGGTACCTGGGTTCACAAATGCTTTTGTTTGTGAACAGTTTCATTTACAAACAGAAGCATTTAGCAAAATTTTGTTTTTGTTTGGGAACTCAGCATCGGTGACAAACACAAACATGGCCATCTTTTCCAGAATTGTGAAACTGAGATACTATTGTATTTCTTTTAGTTTAAGTTTCTGCTACTTAATATAAGTAGAAACATTATATAGGGGGAAAACCCTAAAACAAATACCAAAGCTTTGAAAGGGTTTCTGGCACATTAGCTAAACACTACAAAATCAGCATAGTTTATACTTTGCAATGTATTCTTCTATTCCTCATGCTTTCCCTGTTTCCAGGAGTTAGCTCTCTCAGTAGTGAGACCTGTATTCATTTAGCCTTTGCTGTTTTAATAATACCAAAAATTAATAATGTTCTATTCTCATGTAGTCTTTTACCTTTAAAATTACAACAATATAATCCTTTACATGTTTATTTTCTAGTAAAAGATGAAGACTCATGCTGAAAGAAAATAGAAAACTTTTGTCCCTCTTAAAATATATATATTAACACATATTTGATTTAATGAACCCAAACTGAAGTGGTGCAGCTAATCTACTAGCTTCAGAGGCCCATGAGTACTCCCTCTTAAGAAGTGTGGAAAACGGGGTTGCTGAAATCGAGGAACAGGTAGCCAGAGAAGATATCAAGGAAGCTATGAACCAGTAAAGTTAGGGTGTGGTACACAAACTGATTGCCCTTACATCATGGACACTACCTTTCACCTGTGATGGATGGTGGCTTTTCTTTTTAGTCTTTGATAAACTTTTTCAAAAGAAAAAAAATCCTCTTTCCTCATTACCATCTTGCTACCAGCCTCCTTCTCACCTATCTGGACTATTCACAGGGAAAGAAGAGCAATTATTTCTGCTGATTGCATGGAGGACACAACACACCAGACTCTTGACCAATTTTTTCTTCTGTTTTGTTTCTTTTTTGGTACTGGGAATTGAACTCAGGGCCTCGTGTTTGCCAGGCAGGTGCTGAGCCACTGAGCTACATCCCCGGCCCACCCTTGACCAATTTTACAGATTAAGTCATAGATAGCAAAGGAGCTATTTTGGAGAAAAGAGGTAGAATTTGGGTGAGACAATACTAATTGAAATACAACTAGATGCAGTGAAAGTCCTTAGGGTACTGCTTTTAAGTCCCAATAATATTATAGAAGGGTTAATAGCCTTTCATATTTTACAATATTGTTTGGGTTCACTGGTAGTTGGGACATTTAAATAAGTAGTGTGAAGGTCTATAGAAAAATAGACTAGAATTTTAAGATAACTCGAACAAGCAATTCCAGTATATAGAACATTTAATTTGAAATAATTTAAAATATTCCATCATTAAGATATTTAATCCATGCCCTGGCACCTATGTTTAAGAAAATGTTTAAGTTTGATCTCAAATTAGTACAAGTAGACAGAAATAACTTTATGTGAACATGTATTTAAATTATATATGTATATATACTCAAGAGATAAAGTCAGGGTGTATATGAATTT